TACATTTATTTCATTTTTTTCGTAAACAAAATCATAAGTCCTCAATTTTTAAGCCAAATTATTTCGTGTGACATTTTTAACCATAGTTGTAATAAACAGAAGCCTATAGGGAAGAAGAAATTTATAGGGTTATGTCTTCGAAACGCAAATTTCCATCTAGTGTGTGGCGCGCCGATGAGGTAGAACCGTGCTATCCTTGGCGCTGTAGAGGTTAGAGTAAGTCAGCTCAAATTCTAATTTCGCCCCCACTTCCCCGCGCGTCGTATGCTATGTACTGACATGTTTGTAATCACTAATACTCTAAGTAGATAGGTCGTTAGATACTTATTTCATTAGGTTTATCATATTTATGCCTGTTTCTTAACGCCAACCCAGTCGCTTCTTATTTTTATAACGGTTATTTCCCATTTTAATTTTACGTCTTCCTGTTGCGTAATGTGAATTCTGATCGTAAGCGACACAACTTCTCCCTTCAAAAGCCGGAGCGATACTAATGGGGCGACAGGAATCAAGCTTACGCCACAGCGGTGACACTCCCTGTACGTGAGAGCTTAAGCGCCTGTGACCTTGAGTCGAAGCGTGTAACGCTAGGGATGATATCGAACCGAAATGAAATATTATAGACTTGTACCAAAGAAGATACATAGTAGGTATGTGTTATATATTATGTAAACTTATGTATTTAGGTAGTGAAAGATACGTTCAATTTTAAATCAACTTTTATTAAATGAGGAATATTAAAACTTCCGACAAAACCAAATATGCACGACAGTTAATGGTAATCTTAAAGAATTAACCAACATTTAGTATTTCAGTACGCAATAATCAGTATTACCTACTATCCTTTAAAAATAATTTACTCTTACATATTTTTGAATTTTTCGATTAATTTTTTAATTGTCATTATTATTTCTAACAATTGCAAAAATTCGTAGCATGTATATTTTTTTAGAAAATCCAAAGGTATGCAGGTTTCCTGGGACATAGCGGCCAACAAATTGTTCCCTATGTGTTAAGGAGATAAGTCATTTCTATTTCTAATGAAATAATCCATAAATACAACAATGAACAAATACAAAAACTCTTTATAGATATCTAAAATTTCTTGACTCTCTAGTGGTATTTTTAATAGTGTATATTTCAGTTAATGTAATATAATAAAATTATTGGCGATATATTAGTTTTATTGCCATGGTATTTCCCCATAATTCTTGTTAAGATCATATCGACTTTCATTAAAATGAGTTCACATATTTTTAGGTATAATAAAACATTATTCAAAATTAAACTAACAAAACAAGGGCCCTTGTTTTGTGTAGAGGAATTTATTTTAATTGTAATCACTTAAAATCACTTTCAGTAATACTTATACATATACTATAATATCATTTATTTAATAAAAACAAAAATATTTATCAAAGCATATAGACCTAGCATACACGGCTATAAAAACTAATAACGTTACTTGGTAACATAAACTTAATACCTACATGAATAGAATAGTAATATGTACATTAAGATATCGGTAATATTCATGTATTAATTGAAATATTATATCACTTGACGAATATATTCATATTAACTAATACTGAAAAATATCGGTATTACTACTAGCCCTCGGCCAGGGCAGTCGGCGACTGCCCGTTCCACGCCCCGCGCGCCTCTCAAGGCCCCCGCACACATCCAGACACAACATAGCCGCAAGCGATTTTACGTGCAATTTAAGTGTCGTTTCTTTTCGCGTAGTGTATATATTCTTTGCTTACGCGCCGATAGTTTAGGTAATTTCTTTTTACAGTGAAAATAATGGTATTTTAAAAAAAGTAAATAAGATAAGCACTGCTTTATAGTTAGTTCAGTTAGTATGCAAAGTTTCATGATCTTATTTATTTTATGAATAACAGCGGTTTATTGTTCAGTTTGGAGGTAACTTTGGATTTTTTTTCTATCGAGAAAATTTTACGGAATCGTGTTTTCGTGTAACATAAACCTTAACATTAATCCTCAACTTTACCATATATTTATTTCAAAATTAATGCTGCAATACTTTCGGCATAACGGAGGATCTTGCTAAGCCATTTGAGGTTATATTTCCCCTTAATCCACCTCTGACGGTGGGAATAACACTTATTCGACTACAGTGGATCCCCGGTAATCCAGCCCCTGTCTAATCCGGTACCCCCTGTAATCCAACATGGTCTATTATTTATTATTCAATATTGTTTAACAATCTTCGCTTATTCATGATTGAACAAGTTATGACTTGTACGCACCACCACTATTGTGCTCGACTTGGGTTGAATGGTCTAAGTGCTTGACGCGTAGGTACATTGTTCTGATTCTGTTTTGATTTGATTGCTTAGTTTGAATTGGACATAATGAAGTATGATTTATACTTCGGAGTACATGTATGTAACATATTTCTTGGAGTTTTCTTCTGCGTACGTCCTCTCCGTGGAATAGTTCACCACCGGACCGATACGACCTGGGGACCTTCAAGAAAAAAGCTTACTCCTTTCTAAAGGGCCGGCAACACACCTGCAATTCCCCTGGTGTTGTGGTTGATCATGGGCGGCGGTAGTCACTTACCACCAGGTGAGCCGCATGCTTGTTTGCTCTTCTATAAAAGGGGGCAGTACTCTATAATCCGACAAATTCGATAGTTCGACAACAGAGAGGAGCAGTGGGGAAGCTTCCTAACAACGTCGAAAATGTTTACCTATTTTGATAGGGTTGTCACTTGATAAATGTAAAAAATTTAAGGAAAACATAACAATATTATATGTATAGTATAAAACAACATGTGATTATATTGTAACTTAAATTAACATAATAACATGTCCATTTATTGTAAATTAAATTGAAACTGCAAATATTGTATATTTTGCTAATTTTCATAGTATTATGGCTTAATAGAATCTTGCTGTAGGGTAAAGTGATACGCCGCTTTACCCTACAGCAAGATTCCATAAACCATTGAGAAAATACGTGAAATTTATAATTAAAAACCGCGCGAATCCCTTCGAGAGAATTTTAAATTATATTACTTTTTATTTTTATATTATATTACTATCAATATCATCAACGTATTCATGAGTACAAAAAATCAGGTGGTACAACCACCCGATTTTTTGTTTTTGTAATGGCTAATGGCTGTGATAGTGGTAGTGGGCATTGGTGGTGGTGGTTGTGATGTTGATGGTGGTAGTGGTGGTGGTAACGACTGTGATAGTGATGCTAGTTGTTTTGGTGGTATTGGTGGCGGTGCTGTTGGTGGTGGGTAGTGGACCACCACCAACAGCGTTACTGCAAGCACCACCATCAGTACCAGCACCACTACCACCAACATCAGTACCACTATCACTAACACCACCTTCACCACTGTCTGGTAATTGTATTATTTTCTCTCGAATTTTTACACATACTTTATATTTTTATATATACTTATACTTAATATTGTTTATAGAATTTTTATATTTTTATAAATTTATAATGTCTTATTTTATAATAAAAAATCTCTAAACATAACTCTAATAGTAAAAAAAATTCACGAAATATTGTTTTGCTGCCTGAGCCGGTTTGTACTTGTACCCCGACGGAGCGTCGGTGAACCCGTCAGTGAGAGCTCACGCTCACATCGCTGCTCTATTATGAGTATCTAACTATGTACCTTCCCCTCTGGTCGGTTTGTTTAGTCATGTGGTTCGACACTGCCCTGCAAAATGTTTGTCGGATTACCGGGGGTCCACTGTGTAATACTCGTATTTTTATTTCCCATATTGTGAAGGAATTGTAATTATTTACTTTGTAATTTATGTATAATATACATAACAATTTATGAGGCTTAGTGCGTTATTTAAAAACATTATTTTAAAAATGTACAAAATATACTCAAAAATCAAGTGCAATTTTATAAATATAATCGAAGGCTTGCTAGTCATACTCGTATCCAAGCGGGCTCCGCCATTCTAAATTGTTGATCGCAATTTTTTTAACAGTAAGTACTAATTCTACCAAACAAAAACAAAAAACCAGCAAAGGAGCATGTGCTGTTGCCACGTTAGCCGCGTGGCTTCGCAAAAACCATTCAGTTGAGTTCAGCATTAAAAATTCATATAACTTTGTTCCATGCTATTACGACACAACGGACAATTTTCGGTTTTCCATAACAAGAGTTTTTAATAAAGCCGATACACAGAATAAATAATAGTACGAAGTATCCTTTAAAAAGTGATGCACAAAAATACTGTTGAAACGTTATCGAAAATAATTTAAATTATTAAGTATTATTTTCGATAACAATTCGTAAGTATATTTAGTAAACTGATTTCGTATTTCAATAACAATTTATGGTATTTATATGAATATAATATCTTAATAATATTATTTTATATTTATTTTTAATCATTATTAAAAAATGGTTAATTACTTGCAATATTAGTAGGTTTAATGTAATTTTTGTATTTGCATAAAAAAATGTATGTGCATAAATTACTTGTATGTAATATTAATGTACGTACATATTAAAAGTTTACACAATCGATAAATTAGCATTGTAAAAAGGCGGCACTATTTTAAGTGTTCATGAAGGATGATTCACTTTCTCGCTCTTGACCGCTAATACTATTCCTTTCTTACATTCAATTCTGTCTTCTGTTCTGTCACTGTCAGTGTGACACACAGCGGCAGCGTAGCGCACGTTGTGTCAGTTGCGTTATTTCATTCGTGTGGAGTTGTAGTGCCATTTAAAATTTGACATTCGGAACGCGTGTTTTTATTTGTTATTTCATTACAAATTTTATGAAGTAATATTTGGTTTCTAATGTAAAGCGAAATAAAAAAGATATAATTGTAAAATATTTTTCTTAGTTGTATTATAAATTAATCGTAAGAAGTGAAGACATTTGGTGGTGATGACTGATGATGGATTTAGTGATGTAGGGTTAGAACTGACGTTATATCGTGTGTTTTAGTATAAATAAGTTTTAATTGACAAAGCAATGGCGGTGATTAATTTCAGCGTGTATTTGGTGCTTATATTTTATCAGCTTTCAATGGCTTATAGTGACGAGACTTCCTCGGAATCTGCAGATCTTGGTCTGATGGGTACGTAATGAAATGTTTAGTTATGCTTGTCATTAGTAGTTTATGCAAGAAACCTAATTTCTGTTTTATGAGTTTTCGTAACAGTCAATTGCTTGGCGAACGGATTGACGGTCAAATATAATAATATTATACCCTTATCCATTGCTGTTATTTTGGTATTTCTCGTATTAAGCTATCGTCTCTTCCTTAAAATTAGGAAGTATCTTATTGGCGACATACACTGCAAAAATCTATTATATAAATTAAGTCCTGGTTTTCGATTTTGTATAAATAACATCGTAATCGTATTGTTATGTCAAATACACAAAGCTAATGGAATGAGTGCTTGCGTAGACTGGAATTTTGTCGAGCTGAGATAAATTTGCATTAATTAAGTTTTAGTTGCTATAACTACCTACTATCTTAACACCCTTCTATTAACCTGTGTCCACCAATTTATAACACCTTATTATTTTTTATTTATTCCCTACATTTGGACTATTTGCAATATTTTACTTATTATTTTTATAAGTTTTGCCCATATCCCGTAACACGAATTTTTAATAATTTAATAGTATTATTTAACGAGATTTATTTATATTGGTGATGATATTATGATGATGATGTCTTCCTCTTGACCGGCTTAGACCTCTATGGCATTTTTTAATTACACAACCATAAGTCTCTTGAGCGGGAAACAGAAAGTCCTTACCTATTTGAAGATTTTACTGCAAAAGTAGAGGCACTTATTCCCGACCATATCAAGACGTGACGCAGCGTAACGCAGTTCGAACGCAGTGTTTAATAGTTAATACCAATACACAGATATCAAACCATTGGTCTTTTACACTGTGAACTTATTTTACTTTATTTTGTTAATAGCCCTCTGACTTTCCATCAAACAAAATCGCTTGAATTTATTCAGTTCAAAGTTTATCAAAACAGATCGTGGAAATGGTATCATAATTTAGATTTTGGATGTCAGCAAATTTACAATGCCTTGTTATTTTAACAAGTTTTTGTTTGTAATTGAAATCAGTCCTTAAGAGATAAATTATTCTGGCTTAGCAACTTTATATACCTAGGTAGGTATGTATTTTTAACCAAATACTTTCTGGCAAATTAATATTCCCAGACCAGAGCCTACAGGTGTTAGGTACACTTTATTCAATAACATTAAAAAATTGGCAATAATTTTGGTTTTAAAGTTTATCTACCTTGGTAAATGACACAGCTCTATTTTTGCAAGGTTGTTCGCTTTAATAAAACAATTTTATTATAATTTCAAAACTAAATAAAAATCCGATATGTACAATAAAGTTTTATAAAACAAAAATATAAAATTCTCGCGATTTTTCCATTTGACCAGGTGACAGTCTATATTTATTTATATAAATAAAACATTATCCGAAACGATTAAAATAAAAAACATAGTTGAGAATATGATCTTCAATTATTGTTTATAGAAAATACAAAAAATTGCACTGTAATAATATTATATCTTACTTATGACTTGGCCTCATCATTATCAAAAAAGAAATAATTTGAAACATAAAATTCAAAAGAAAATAATTTTTATATATATTCCAGGGGTTCATTTAATTTTGACTGCGTAGGTACCACTTCAAAAAAAGAGCCCAAGCTTGCGTGCCCTGGGGTAATAATATGTTATCGATTATGAATATTACAACGGTAATTTAAGTTCAATTGGATCATTAATTATGACGTACATCATGTGCGATTCGGCGATTGTAAATTTTGCGTAGGTTTTTACCACAGGTAAGAGATTGCCCTTACCATTACCTTTGTCAAGAGCGAACCTCCTTAGGCAACCTAACGTAGACCGCGTACGACAAATTGGTAAACAAACGTTTGCTCCCATCGGACTGCAATATATTATGCTCATTGCAACGGAAGGCCAGACAAGTCGGCACGAGTATCGATTGATCCAATGACGTCAACAGACAATCCAATGCTTATCGTAGCGATCTGATAAGGGACTGGCGCCGGCGGTATCGGACAAATTCAGCTATCGGGATGTCTGTAAGCTGCAAACTTACGTATTAGGTACCTATTAAGTCTCCATATTGTAGATGCAGTTAGTAGTCTCGTAACACTTGTTCCTAAAGCAATGGTAAAAAATAAGTTTTGTATCTGTGATTTATTGTCTTTTTGCAACTGTACCCATAATAACCTGAAATCGATGCCTTGAAAATGTTAGTATCGGTATTTCAAAAATTACATTTTTTTATGATTTAAGAGTTAGGTGGACTAAAATTGCGAATGGATATTAAAAATTGATCAATGCGAAAATTTTAATTTTTTTAATAGAGTATTATAAGGGTGACAAACGAGCACATAAGTCCACCTGATGGTAAATGGATGCTGGGGCCCATAGACATCTACATTTATTTTCGATTAAGAATCAAAATTCAAAACGCAGATGCGTTGTCACCCATGATGACTAATATAAAGCCTCGTTTTGAGTAAAAAGGGTTTCCGTATCTCTACACCTACCATGCGAAACACATCAACATTAAGATGTTATTTTTACGCTGGTATTCTGTGAAAGCGTGGTCCTATACCCCGGTTAAGCCGACCTATTCGTGCTATAATATAGCTGCAGCATGACTCTACCACATAAAGCGTAAGTACTGGCCTCGTTGTAAATAATATCTTTATAGTAGCCTTATTAATCTATAGAACAAAATATTAGATGAACTACATCAAAACTTGAACAAGTGGTAAAATTAAAAAATTTGTACAACCGACTTCAATATAATGAAATGAAAAATTCTATGAAGTCTATAGTACCTTGATCAAATATATATGGGACCACACGACAAGCACCATCTTTCAAATAAAATATTGTAAAAAATAATCATCGAAATCGATTCAACTAAAAAAAAAGTTCTTAGGTAATTACACATAAAAAACATAAAGTCTAATTGAATTCCCTCTCCTTTTTGAAGCCGTTAAAAAGGAACGCGAGCTTTTTGAAATTTTGAAAAATTGATATAATTTTAATATCTGTTTTTGAATTTTAAAATGATACACTCGTTTGTATCAGGTGGATTTAATGTAAAAACCTACGCCGCCGACATGTGTGCGACACGCGCCTAAATGTCGGGCGCCAGTGACGTCATGGGATTACACCCGGGACTCCCTGCTGTAGTCGGCCGCCTAACCAGCCCCGTCTCTATTCTAAAGGAACCATTGGTTGATAAATAGATAGATAAACGTTGACTTTCATTAAATACTGATATTTTTATAACAAACCTTCCTTTTGTAATTTAGTATATGTAAAATATTTTTTTTAATCCGCATAAATAATTTATACCATTTCGAATTAAAAAGGCATGCTGCTTTCCTAAAATAAATAAAGTATATTATAAAATGTCTATGGATTAATACACGCATAAAGTAGAATAGAGCGTCGGACAATATTAATAATTGATATGTATACTTTCTGGGTTGATATGACACTGATTCGTTTCGTTTAAACGAATATTTATATTAAACTAGCGATGTGCCCCGGCTTCGCACAGGTAGTTTATGTTTATGGGTCACGACAACAGCGACACCTACCGGCTCTGATTGTGAATCTAAACCAGGGATTCCCAAACTTTTTTGGACAAGAGACTCCTTTTCCAAAATGAACTGATACCTCAGAACACCATAGTCAAATAACTTTAAAAATTCTATCTCTAGTTTTTTTCCTACACTTGCCAATTTAAAAACTGCGATTGGTTAAGTGAGTTACACCTCACATCATTTTCTCATCAAAATTTAACATAATAAATAGACATACAATTCTGTAAATATCAAGTGTAAACGTTAAATCCGCAAGGTAAACATAAACAAATAAAAAATTCGATGTGGTTCATGAACTTGGTGACTTTCTACCAATCTAGCTATATCTGGTTCAACTGGACCACTTCGGGAATCCCTGATCTAAACCGTTCTCGAATCAACTTAATCACACTTAAAAAATTTCATCAAAATCGATCCAGTCGTTTAGGAGTTAAGTCACACACACACATGGGATAGGGTGACAAACGAGCACACAGTCCACCTGATGGTAAGTGGTTGCTGTGGCCCATAGACATCTACATCTGTCTACTGCGACCAAGATGGAATGCCTCGTTGCCAGTAAAAAGGGTCTCCGGTTCTCTACACTCACCATACGAAATACAGCAGCATTAAGCTACTATTTCACGCTGGTATTCTGTGAGAGCGTGGTCCTTCCCCGGTCGAGCTGACCCATTCGTGCTACAACTACACTACTAATATAACTGCAGCATGGCTCTACCACTTTTTAATTTAAATTTGAATTTTATTTATATAGACTATTTTAGAACATCGTTCTCACGTTAACTGATGCAAACGTATGCAATTAACTTGATACAATATAGGTATGTTTAGATAATGCATTAATAAAACGTTAAATTAAAAGATAGGCATTAATCACCGATACCCGGTATCACGTCCGCAACAGGTTACGCTTTCACTGGTTTTCTAACAATGGTATCTCGTAACTCGGATTTCAATTGCACTCATATAATACGAGTTTAACGGTTACATATTATGTACGTGTGTATACATTACATGATAAGCCTGGAAAAACGAATACGAAATTAGATCCATAAAAGGGAAAGTTTTATAGTGGTTAAATAACCCATCCATTCTTTACAGCCTATAAAAACCTTATACTGAACAAACGTCAACCCCAACCAATCTAAGGGAAGTGGCCTATGTTCAACAGTAGACTGCTATAAGCTGCAGATGGGAGATAGCTGGTAGGCATCTTTGGGCCAAGCATCCACTTACCATCAGGTAGCCTGTGTGCTCTTTTTTATATCATAAGGTGCCTTTTAGTAAGTGGATGTGTACTTCCTCGATTAGGAATCAAAATGCAGATACGTCACCCCTCAGGACTAAGATGGTACAGGTACCTCCTTTCCAGTACAAAGGATCTCCGGCTATCTATACCCACTCACCTTTACCTTACGAAACACAGC